TCAGATTTCTTTTTTTTGACAGATTCGATATTATAGCCTGACCAGGACCATAAAAACTAGAGATGAAACGGATATCCGGCAACTATCCGGTAGGCCGGATATCCGGCCTAAATTTACTATCCGGCCGGATACCGGATAGTAACTCACTATCCGGCCGGATACCGGATATTAAAAAACTACAACAATTTCCTATTAATGAAATGAAATACTTTAATCTTAGAGGTAAACATCAATAAAATGGCTTATAATAATGACGGGTTTTATTTAAAGTCCAAAAAGTTACATAAATCCATAATATTAAGGCCTTTAAAAAAAACTAATTTCTTTTTCTGGGCTATTCACTCTAATGACGAATACATAAATAGTAAATATACACGGTGGCCAAAACAGTGAGGTACATCAAGGTTTATCTAAATCACCCCCATGTGTATAATACGATTTTGCTTAGTTTAGGAGATTGAGTTAATTTTGTGATATTTTAAAATTCTATGACCTAGTAGGCTTTAAAAATATATATCTTATTTTTGGGTTGATTTTTCTCAGATTTCTTTTTTTTGACAGATTCGATATTATAGCCTGACCAGGACCATAAAAACTAGAGATGAAACGGATATCCGGCAACTATCCGGTAGGCCGGATATCCGGCCTAAATTTACTATCCGGCCGGATACCGGATAGTAACTCACTATCCGGCCGGATACCGGATATTAAAAAACTACAACAATTTCCTATTAATGAAATGAAATACTTTAATCTTAGAGGTAAACATCAATAAAATGGCTTATAATAATGACGGGTTTTATTTAAAGTCCAAAAAGTTACATAAATCCATAATATTAAGGCCTTTAAAAAAAACTAATTTCTTTTTCTGGGCTATTCACTCTAATGACGAATACATAAATAGTAAATATACACGGTGGCCAAAACAGTGAGGTACATCAAGGTTTATCTAAATCACCCCCATGTGTATAATACGATTTTGCTTAGTTTAGGAGATTGAGTTAATTTTGTGATATTTTAAAATTCTATGACCTAGTAGGCTTTAAAAATATATATCTTATTTTTGGGTTGATTTTTCTCAGATTTCTTTTTTTTGACAGATTCGATATTATAGCCTGACCAGGACCATAAAAACTAGAGATGAAACGGATATCCGGCAACTATCCGGTAGGCCGGATATCCGGCCTAAATTTACTATCCGGCCGGATACCGGATAGTAACTCACTATCCGGCCGGATACCGGATATTAAAAAACTACAACAATTTCCTATTAATGAAATGAAATACTTTAATCTTAGAGGTAAACATCAATAAAATGGCTTATAATAATGACGGGTTTTATTTAAAGTCCAAAAAGTTACATAAATCCATAATATTAAGGCCTTTAAAAAAAACTAATTTCTTTTTCTGGGCTATTCACTCTAATGACGAATACATAAATAGTAAATATACACGGTGGCCAAAACAGTGAGGTACATCAAGGTTTATCTAAATCACCCCCATGTGTATAATACGATTTTGCTTAGTTTAGGAGATTGAGTTAATTTTGTGATATTTTAAAATTCTATGACCTAGTAGGCTTTAAAAATATATATCTTATTTTTGGGTTGATTTTTCTCAGATTTCTTTTTTTTGACAGATTCGATATTATAGCCTGACCAGGACCATAAAAACTAGAGATGAAACGGATATCCGGCAACTATCCGGTAGGCCGGATATCCGGCCTAAATTTACTATCCGGCCGGATACCGGATAGTAACTCACTATCCGGCCGGATACCGGATATTAAAAAACTACAACAATTTCCTATTAATGAAATGAAATACTTTAATCTTAGAGGTAAACATCAATAAAATGGCTTATAATAATGACGGGTTTTATTTAAAGTCCAAAAAGTTACATAAATCCATAATATTAAGGCCTTTAAAAAAAACTAATTTCTTTTTCTGGGCTATTCACTCTAATGACGAATACATAAATAGTAAATATACACGGTGGCCAAAACAGTGAGGTACATCAAGGTTTATCTAAATCACCCCCATGTGTATAATACGATTTTGCTTAGTTTAGGAGATTGAGTTAATTTTGTGATATTTTAAAATTCTATGACCTAGTAGGCTTTAAAAATATATATCTTATTTTTGGGTTGATTTTTCTCAGATTTCTTTTTTTTGACAGATTCGATATTATAGCCTGACCAGGACCATAAAAACTAGAGATGAAACGGATATCCGGCAACTATCCGGTAGGCCGGATATCCGGCCTAAATTTACTATCCGGCCGGATACCGGATAGTAACTCACTATCCGGCCGGATACCGGATATTAAAAAACTACAACAATTTCCTATTAATGAAATGAAATACTTTAATCTTAGAGGTAAACATCAATAAAATGGCTTATAATAATGACGGGTTTTATTTAAAGTCCAAAAAGTTACATAAATCCATAATATTAAGGCCTTTAAAAAAAACTAATTTCTTTTTCTGGGCTATTCACTCTAATGACGAATACATAAATAGTAAATATACACGGTGGCCAAAACAGTGAGGTACATCAAGGTTTATCTAAATCACCCCCATGTGTATAATACGATTTTGCTTAGTTTAGGAGATTGAGTTAATTTTGTGATATTTTAAAATTCTATGACCTAGTAGGCTTTAAAAATATATATCTTATTTTTGGGTTGATTTTTCTCAGATTTCTTTTTTTTGACAGATTCGATATTATAGCCTGACCAGGACCATAAAAACTAGAGATGAAACGGATATCCGGCAACTATCCGGTAGGCCGGATATCCGGCCTAAATTTACTATCCGGCCGGATACCGGATAGTAACTCACTATCCGGCCGGATACCGGATATTAAAAAACTACAACAATTTCCTATTAATGAAATGAAATACTTTAATCTTAGAGGTAAACATCAATAAAATGGCTTATAATAATGACGGGTTTTATTTAAAGTCCAAAAAGTTACATAAATCCATAATATTAAGGCCTTTAAAAAAAACTAATTTCTTTTTCTGGGCTATTCACTCTAATGACGAATACATAAATAGTAAATATACACGGTGGCCAAAACAGTGAGGTACATCAAGGTTTATCTAAATCACCCCCATGTGTATAATACGATTTTGCTTAGTTTAGGAGATTGAGTTAATTTTGTGATATTTTAAAATTCTATGACCTAGTAGGCTTTAAAAATATATATCTTATTTTTGGGTTGATTTTTCTCAGATTTCTTTTTTTTGACAGATTCGATATTATAGCCTGACCAGGACCATAAAAACTAGAGATGAAACGGATATCCGGCAACTATCCGGTAGGCCGGATATCCGGCCTAAATTTACTATCCGGCCGGATACCGGATAGTAACTCACTATCCGGCCGGATACCGGATATTAAAAAACTACAACAATTTCCTATTAATGAAATGAAATACTTTAATCTTAGAGGTAAACATCAATAAAATGGCTTATAATAATGACGGGTTTTATTTAAAGTCCAAAAAGTTACATAAATCCATAATATTAAGGCCTTTAAAAAAAACTAATTTCTTTTTCTGGGCTATTCACTCTAATGACGAATACATAAATAGTAAATATACACGGTGGCCAAAACAGTGAGGTACATCAAGGTTTATCTAAATCACCCCCATGTGTATAATACGATTTTGCTTAGTTTAGGAGATTGAGTTAATTTTGTGATATTTTAAAATTCTATGACCTAGTAGGCTTTAAAAATATATATCTTATTTTTGGGTTGATTTTTCTCAGATTTCTTTTTTTTGACAGATTCGATATTATAGCCTGACCAGGACCATAAAAACTAGAGATGAAACGGATATCCGGCAACTATCCGGTAGGCCGGATATCCGGCCTAAATTTACTATCCGGCCGGATACCGGATAGTAACTCACTATCCGGCCGGATACCGGATATTAAAAAACTACAACAATTTCCTATTAATGAAATGAAATACTTTAATCTTAGAGGTAAACATCAATAAAATGGCTTATAATAATGACGGGTTTTATTTAAAGTCCAAAAAGTTACATAAATCCATAATATTAAGGCCTTTAAAAAAAACTAATTTCTTTTTCTGGGCTATTCACTCTAATGACGAATACATAAATAGTAAATATACACGGTGGCCAAAACAGTGAGGTACATCAAGGTTTATCTAAATCACCCCCATGTGTATAATACGATTTTGTCAAAATCAATTGACGAAAAAATACAAATTATGGTAGATTGATGTGCCAGCAACTCTAAATAAATTCTAAAATAATAATCCTTGCTTGCTTATGAACCAAATAGTATGAATTCATGGATAAAATAAATATTTTTTTCCGATGCGCACAAAAATTCGCCCGCTGTGTCCTGAAGAAAAAAATTTTTTCACCTACTTTTTGCGAAAAAAGTACCATACAATGTTATATTTTTATAATCTTGATAAATGTAGCTTTCAGGTCATATTTTTTTTATTAGATTATCTCCAGTAGTTTAAAAGTAAACGACGTTTATTTAAAAAAATACTTTTTGGTTTTTGTGAATTTTACTCAATATTTTTATTTTTTTGTATGAAAAGGCAAAAAGTTTGTTCTAGAAATGAATTTGCCATCCTTTAATTATCCGTAAATGATACCACACTTGCCATAATACCCATAGTTTTGAAGATATGGGCCTTAAAGTGAAGCGCGGCGGAAGGAAACTTGCCCCCCCTCCCCCTGCTACCACAGGGGGGGCTCCCGATGTCTACCGACGGAAATCCACTCAGGAGCACCCAAAGAACCACTGTTGCAAAAATGAGCCTTCTATACCAAAGTGGAGGGGTCTCCATACAAATCATTGCACTAAATTCCCTACTATGAACAAAGAAATAGTAACTATCCTAAATTGCTAATAGCTTGTGAAGTACCTCCTACTGCACAGGTACTTAACAAGCCGATAGGTATTGTTATATTGTGGAAATTAAATAAAAGTTTACAATCAACAGATAAATGGTTCAATAAAATATATTATCATAGTAGTACATACTTAACTGTGATTAAAACTTATCATAATTAATTTTACATAAATTTTATGTGAGGAATAGAATAGAAAACGCCATAACTAAACAAGATACAGCTACATACGGAGATTTCCTCTCTCCAATCCTTGCACACTTCCAGAATGTTCCCATTAACCTGAAAACAAAATAAAAAACATGTTTTTGCAAGATAGTAGGTATCTAATATTTAAAAAACTCAATTTTACGTACCCAGTTTTGTTTCTGTCCATGAGACTTGGGAAAAATGATCTCAAATATGCACAAGTGCAGATCAATAGCAAAATAACAGACAGCAAACTTTGAAAATTAAAAATTGCACTCTGTAACAAAAGGGGCAGGTTTAGTATTGTAGCCAGATTATTTAAACTGTAACTCAAGTCTTACTGTATATACTAATTTAAATAAAAGTATGCTTACCATTTTGAAAATATAAAATAATTAAATTATCATGAAAATTCTAATTTTCGGACACTTTTTGTTATTGTGCAGTGACAACAAGTGACAATGACGTGTGTGGTGTTGCATACTGCGTAAACTCTTAAAAGTACTAATATGAATGAACTGATTTAAACTCTAGAGCAGTGTGTTTCAACCTGTGGCACTATGGAGCGAAATTGCGATTTATGGACATAGCGATTTTTTTCACAATTTCTATTTGAAAAAAATACCTATCGATAGGTTACGTTATTCTGATGAATAAATGCTGCACAAGTTTTTCTCTAAAACCAATAGTTTGACTGGAAAAAAATATTTTCCATTTTCGTTGTATGGAATGAAACATAAAGTGGTCGATTTCGACTAAGCCTAACAAGCCATAGAACAAGGCTCAAGTAGTTTCAAAGCAAGATCTGTCAAGGCTTAGTCGAAATCGACCACTTTATGTTTCATTCCATACAAAGAAAATGGAAAATATTTTTTTCCAGTCAAACTATTGGTTTTAGAGAAAAACTTGTGCAGCATTTATTCATCAGAATAACGTAACCTATCGATAGGTATTTTTTTCAAATAGAAATTGTGAAAAAAACGCTATGTCCATAAATCTCAATTTCGCTCCATAGTGTGTGGGTCGCGCGCTACCCCCTGGGGGGTCGCCAAGCCTCTATAGGTGGGGTCGCGATAGGTAGTAAAAATCATAAAATAAATTTTAATGATGTATGGATTTAAATATCCGATTCCCACAACATATTTGTAACATTATAAAATGCATGGAAAAAAAAGTGAGCGGTCGGGCAGTCACAAAAAATTTTTTCATACTAGGGTCGCAAAATATTTTTTCATACATACATTTATGAAAAAGGTTATAAAACATTGCTCTAAAGCAAAATACCTTAGAATGCTAGTGGCGGATTAACAGGGGGGCAGAAGCAGCCCGCCCCGGGCCCCTGGTCTTTGGGCGGCCCCAAATGCCTCTACGTTCTCCTGATCTAATCCTAAACAAAACTAATGTATGACGGGGGGGCCGGGGTGGCTCACCCCCCTCCCCAGAACGGTCTGGTTACCCAGCTCCCCCAGGAGTGACTCGACTTTAAAAAGCTTAATTTCTGAAAATTAAATATTCTTCGTCAGTATATTTACTAAAAGTTACATAAATAGTAATTATAAACTACTAGCACCACTGTTTACGTGGAAGTAAAGCAATGGAATAGATAAATATAAAGAATAAAAAAATAACAAGAACGTTACAAACAAAAGATAAAATTATACGTGATCATCACAATTTCATTACAATTTCTAAAAGTATTCTCACCCTATCCATTACATAAAATAACAAAAACAATAAAAAAATGTATAGTTTAGAAATCTTTGCCAGTAATGCAGTAAAGCACATCTGCTGTCAAGTCAGTCTGTCACTGTCACAAAAGTTGTCAATGTCAGATGTTTTGATTTTTGAGCGAGATTAAATCGAGGAATTAATTAATTTATTAGTTTATTACAGGTTTCTCAACTAAATAATTGATGTAGTTTCAAGTTAATATAGTTGTGAACCGGCTACATGATGGACGAAGATAAATTCGCTCTGGTTGAAAAAATCATAAAAGACGTGGACAATGTTATGATGAAAAATGCTGACTTGTAAATATTTACTGAAATTGGGCTATATTCCAACTGTTAGATGTTAGATGTTTGCAAGACAAAGAAAACTTAATAATCATTGTTTATCCGTTCCAGATACGCATTTGACATTGTGCCCGCCGAAGCGAATTTTTGCAACAAATCGCCTGTCCTACATTTGTATAATTGCCTGGGGCTGGAGTCGTGGTGCGTGAAGCATGTGTATATGTACTGCTATTCAGAGCTCATGGATAAATACTTCGCGAAGCTAAAACGCAAGGCCCTGAAGCCATCATCAATAAACTGTGAGAGGCTAACTAGGTTACTTAACCTAACTCTACTCATCAACCCTGAGCTGACATCTTTGTGGAACAAGAGACGCGAAATGGTCCTAAAATCTTTTCTAGAAAAGACAAATGAATTACAATTTACTAGACTTGTACTCTCAAGAAAACCCAAGTGCAATGATGCTTTCTCTTATCGAAGATGGATTTTGGAAGCTATTTTAAAAGGTGAGGTGTTAATTTATTTATTATTATTAAAGTATTTTGATGTTGCTATTACTTTGTAACTTCATTTTATAACAATATTTCATTATTTGAATGAATTATTGGTTTTTATGTTGCAGATGACACATTGCAGAGCAATTTTATTGATAATCTCATAACTACAGAACTTCAAATATGTGAGTTGGCTTCAGACAAGAGTCCCAACAACTACCACAGCTGGAATCACCGCATCTGGGTTGTAAACAAACTCAAATCTATCAAAAACTTTGACTTACACTTCCTTTACATCAAGGAGTATGAATTTTCAGAGAGATGGACATCCAAACATGTGTCAGATTATAGTTGTTTTCACTACAGACAGTTTTGCATTAAAAATATATTTTTAATAAATTCTGACCGATGGCATTCCTTTGAAAATACTATCAATTGTAATTTAAGGAAGAGTTTTGTCAGGATACTGTCAGATAACTTCCCCAACGATGTAACTATTCAGGCTTCTGAAGATGACCTGTTGTCATATTCAGAGGAGAATTTAGTCAATCTACTTCTTTGTTATACAAGCAAGACATGCGGTTGTGCTATGGACCATGTTCAGGTGTGTAGGAAACTAGAGATTTTATTTCACGAGTTGGTGTTGAATAGTGAGTTGTTAAGGTTTTATAAGTATCATGAAACAATGTGGTATCATAGAAGGTTTGTGGTGCATGAAATAATGAGTATAATGTATGATCACTTTGGTGTGGCCAGACAGAATGGAGCTTTAGTCAAGGGAAGCTGTGGAGTGTGTAGTGTGGACGAATCCAGGCAAAAACAAGCTAAGATTGTAAGGTATGATAGCAATCGTATCTATTCCAGTGTTCTATTCAATATCTTAAGGAATCTTGAGAATAAGTTTGTTGAAGAGAGGCAGAAAGATGACGACAATTATGCATGTAGGCATGAAAAATACTTGAGATTTGTTGAGGGTCTTAACAATGTGATGTGATTTTTATGAATGAAAATTTTAAAATTATATGCAAATTAAATAATGTTTATCTACATTTATAAAAAGATATTCATAAAAATCTCTTTAATACTCTTGGATATTGCTGCCTATAACAATGATTGCAAATACACTCGACAGCAAATAAATCGCACTTCCCGCGACGCGAACTTTAAAGATTTTCTTTTGACGCAATCATGGTGCCCCAACAATATTGGTGTTATTTGAAAGCCCAATAAATATCCTTAAAGAAAAACACATTTAATTTTTTAATAAATGATTAACATATACCATAAATGTGACTTGAAAAAAGACCTCACTTTGGGCTCACCTCTGGGGTCAATTAGACCAAATTTTATGGTTATAAAACCAAATAATGATCACACGTGTCCTCTTTAACAGATGGATAGCGATTAATCCCAACTTAACAGTTTTATAGCCATCAAATTTGGCTCAAGCGTAACTACCTATTTTTTGAAGAAGTGACCCTGGATCCTTCAAAAGACACATTTTTGGGGTAAAAACCTTTCTTTTAATGAAATGAAGTTTAGAACTAGGCTTTTAAATGGTGCCAATATTGGTAGGAAGTGGGGATGCATACGTTTGAAAGTGCTTGTCGCGGGAGGTGCGATTTATTTGCTGTAGAGTGTATAATAAAGTGATCCAAAGCAGCATTGTCTGTAAAAAACTGTACTGTAATATTATGTATTTTAAATATATTTCCATTTGCATTTTTATATAATGTACACATCATTATGAATGAAGTAATAAATGACGGAGCTAGATGATTTTAGATAGGATAGGTGAGAATGTATAAAAATAGATTTCACCAAATTCTTTATTCTAAGTAGTTGAGCTAGTTTGTATCTAATTTGTTTTGTTTGTTTTTACCAATATTTATTTATGCAGAATAGACATAAAAAGACATGTTTTGTATAACAATAAAAGCTGTCCATTATACATTTTTGTTATTTACAATTTAAATAACCCTTATTTTATTTAAAACAGTTTTGGTAGGTGGTCTATGTTCGTTTATTTTATGTTCGTGTCTTTTATGTTTGTTTGATGTTATGAAAGCACGGGCTCTTTTGACAACAAAAACAAAGCTCGAACCGGTGATATTTTTTTGAGGTGCGACTATGATAAGCTCCTTCACATTTAGCCTAGGCGCAGACCATCGATTTTTCGTCGGCCGATAGTTTAGTCGGTATAGGTATGTATGGAAGTGCGCACATTACACCGATTTGATTTGGCCGATTCTTCATACAAATTAAAATCGGGCCTACCAACTATCAGCCAACTAAAAATCGGTGGTCTGCGCCTAGTCTTAGGCGACTTTAGCAGAGCGACTGTCGTGCTACTCGTAAGGCTGGTTTAAGAATCACGCTGACGCAAGCCGACCGTCAGCGCTCACAGCCAAAATTTATGAAGAGTCGGCGCCGAGCGATCAGAATCACTCAGGAACGTTCTCTTCAATTACATACATTTTGATTTGTCAGCGCCGACGATCAGCGAGCGGTCAGCGCGATTCTAAAACCAGCCTTATACATGACAGCGCGGCAGCGGAATTTTTAATTTGAATCTGCAGTCGTGCTGCCGCCGCACAATTTGCGACATAATGTGAAGGCGCTCTAACGCATTTTTTTAATTAACGGTTAATTATTGTCTTACAGGCTATATTACAGTTGGAGGCTGAGATTACCATAAGTCTTTGTAAGCCGTCCGTATTTATCAAGTTATTGGTAGGATAGAAAATTAAGCAGTAGCAAACAAGTTACATAGGTATTACTGTTCTATCGTTGGAACATTATGTTTTATCAATAGCTTTCAGGCTGAACACAGAGGATACCTCATAGTGACGTATAGCGTGCTTTAGGCGGGCTCTATATCAAAATTTGTTGGAGGCTCCATCCAAAAGTCATTTTTGCTTAGGTACTCTGATTAATCCGAAAAATTCCGGCTCTGGGGCCCCGTATCATTGATACGGCTGATACAGCAGCGGTAGCTACGTCCCTGGTACCTCATTTTCGATATTATTGGCACTAATTATAAATCTATGATTCATGTGTTCAATGACAGGGCGGTAAACTTGATTTTGATTTCAGTGTGTATCAAAAATACTTTTTATCAATGTCCAATATTAAATTTAATGTCAACCTTGCTTACAAAATTTTATGAAAAGGAGTATGTCGCAGCAATTCGTAGTGATTTATTGGTGCTACGAGCGAACTGCATAGAATCATTAATTTCGGTTACGGTGCTACGGTGCTACTCTACGGGGTACGATGCTACGGTGCTATAGCTACGGGGTACAGCTACGATGCTACGGCTACGGCGCTACGGCAATGGCGTAGGTACGTGTTACTCGGGTACAAAAGAAATCGTAGCAAGAAATTATGCCTTTCGTGTGAAATTTGAATCGGTTATGTAGACTGTTTTTATTGTTTATTAGTTTTAGTACAATAAAAAATATTATTGAAAAAAAATTCCCAATAATCTTATTTTTGAGAAAGTTTGAGCGTTGTTGGATAGATGGATGGATATTTGTTGCTTTTTCACGCAAAAAATACTGAACGGATTTTGTTAAAACTTTACAGTAGGCCTATTTTATATTGTTTGTACTTCAGAATTATAAATTGACGCAAGTTAAGCCGCGAAAGCTAGTCTTAAAATTTTTATTATATAATTTACTTAATTTTTGTATTCTATTTATTTATTTTAAAGAATATAAAAACGTTGTAAACATACATACTTATTATTGTTATAGTATGTTACTACAATGTTAAATCGTTATCTTACTACGAGTAATACACCACTAAATTTTTATCACCGAAAAAATTTTAACAGGTTATGTAGAAATGTGTGAAAAATTTAAAGCAAAAGAAAAATAAATGTTTTTCGTAAAGTTAATTTTTTTATTACATTTTCTTTAGTCCATATTTTACGCGTCACAGCTGGGTCACTCCCATGAAGCTAAAGATAAAAATGGAGGCCAGACTTAGAATACCTACTTGAAGCACAACCTATGTATCACTATCTCGCTCTCTGTGGGCAGGCTCTCTCTTTCTAAGTAGGGTAACCTTTTATTTATTTTTCTCAGGACGACAAAGACTGATTTACGTTTAAACAGTGTGTCTTGATAAAGTGCACTTAATATGATTATGAAAAAAGGTTTTCGATGTTTTTGTTTTAAGATGAATTACAACATTAAGAAAGTGTAAAGGCATCGAAAACTGTGGATATTTGATAGAAAACAGATTTTAATTTGGCAGTTGACAGACGGATTTGGATATGGATTGATTACAGTAAACGGCCGTAGAAAACATTATGCAAAATTAGATAAGTAAGGTCCCACAGAAAGTCCCAGATATATCCTCAATATGGTCATACTACTTCAAAATGTCTTATAGAAACAAAAATTTTAAATTTGCTCAAAGTCAATGAAACTCAATGTAAAATCTTCTTTTTCTTGACATATGTAACATTTAATAATAAGTTTAAATACTGGTAAAACGTTTTAGGAAGTAATTACTGTGAAAATACAAAGAAATATGTTAACAATGATCCACTGTCAGAAATCACGAAATAAACACATACGCGTGGAATTTTATATCACTTCCAGGACAACACGAACTACCGCAACCACGCACTATACAATTTTGCACCATTTCTTCAGACAAAACAATGATAAGGTCCCTTGAAAAATCTCAAACGAAATCAACTGCATAGTAAACAACCGCCATGATGGGCCGGATTCGGCCGATGTTGCCACATTACCGATACCTCAGAAATTGGGATTGTAATTCCCTGATTCGCCAACACATTAAGCCTAAATGGCCGACAATTTTGTGATTTTTTATTTAACTAGGTAATCTAAGTTTCAAATATAAATTATTTATTTATTTAACTTCTTATTTGGTTAGTGAATTGGCTATTTCGAAGAATTTACAAGGAGATTTAAATAAGAAGATAGCAATACTACAGTTCACACTAAAAAGAGAGGTAGGGCCACAGTATTTGACTCAAGTTTTGTTCCCAACTTTGCCCTCCATTTTTATCTGTAGCTTCATGGTCACTCCGCTGCTCGCTAGAGTAGTCGTACGCGCTCGCACGTTGCATCGATCTGTCTGTCTCGCTCACGCCTCGACCACGCTTCCAGTGTTATTATTACATACATAGCTAATTTAGATCATTTTGAATTCTAATAAGTGTTACATTATCGTACGTAAATAGTGCTAGCGACGCGTGTGTCAATAAATTACCAATTTTAGGAGGATATTTTGAGTCACTTTATTTTACTTTTTTTTTTGCACAAATGGAATCAGTATCAATAACTCATTACCCAGAATTTTTTTTTTCGGTGATTAAAATTTAGTGGTGTATATCATTAGACTTGTATTTGTTTACTCGTACGAACCTCGCTAAAAATAGTAATACTGCGATAGCTATCACAACACTTGTAAAGCTATTAATCAAAAGCTATTCAGTCAATTGAACATTAACCCCGATTGAAAACAAATACGTAGTCATAGTAACTCCCGTCCGCCATTTTACAAGGTTGCAAACGTTGACACCACGACATACATTTGAGTACGGCAGAGTACACGCAGCTGCATACGCATTACGCATCGGCACCGGCCAACTTACGCCGATGTGGGTCAGGAGGCTCGTATGGGGTGCCCCCATCAAAAATCCCCCTGAAATCAGAAACATCCGAACGTGAAACCACTCTGTGCTGGATTCCGAACTTTACGACTGGATCTCAAGGTAGCTTTTCGATTCTGGAAACAAAATCCGTGTTACTTTCTGAAGCACGTGTCTCTACGTGACGTCACGGACGTCGCGCGTTCGCGGGTTCGTTCTAGATCGATATTCGTACGCGAGCTCGGAGGCGTTCGGGCGCGCTCGGCGCCGTGAGGTTCGCGACACCACGTGCTAGTTACGTAACAATGATGGGCGCAAGGTACAACTCATTGACAAAGATTATTTGTGTAACGAAGCCTTGCTGTGTACAAGCGGACCTTGGCTATGCACCTAGTCTTTACACGTACATAACAATGCACACAAACGCTAAGCTGTTTCCGTTGAAAACTTAATGGTATTACATTACCTACCTACTTAAATGATACTAATATTCTTTTTATCTTTTTTCAGGAAACTTTTAGCTGTTATTAGTTCTTAAAGAGCAATTGTTAACATCGATGTTATTTAGAAAAAGCAATGTCCCGCATGAATAAAAGTGAGCTAGTAATTCGTTTATCTATCGATAAAGAAACAATAAAGAATTACAGTCGTTATACGGCATGGCATTTAAGATTCTTATCTCGTAGATTGCTCCGCGGGCGGTTGAGGATGCGAATTGAACGTGTGAGACCGCGAAAGGCTTATGAGAACATTCCGAGCTCGCCTAGAAATCTCTGACACTAGGTAATATTACTCTTTATTAGACTTTAGTACTTCACGCTGAATACGAAATCGGTATAAGTATGATCATGGCTAGAATGTCTTGCATCCATATTAGTAACGTTGACACGTTATAAATTCTGAAAAGAAGGTTACTGGATTAGCTCCACACCAAGTTGGGCGCCAGATTGAAATAATGGCGCCCAACATGGGGTTTAGCTCGACCTAGTATTACAGTTTGCGAATTATGCTTCAATTCAGCTGCACTAAAGTTAAACTTTATGCGGACAGCTGGAAAGGAATATGCAATTGCTTCCGAGGCTAACGCAATACGTAGAATTTTATTTTATAGAGTGATTTTCGTAAGACGTAGCTATTTTGTTTTATTACACATAGTAATTCGAAAACATTAACATCATAATAAAGTTATGTTATCCTTTACAAAGACTTCAACATATAAATTGGAACGAAGACTAGGAAGCGAGTAAAGCTAGTTACTGAA